GACAGTCGACGGAGTATGATCCCAGCGAGAAGTTTAGAGAAGACGTTGATTAAACTAATTCCTCTGTGGTTTTCATGAGGGGATCTGTCACCTTTTTTGCAAATCGGTATGATGATCGATTCAAACCATTCTGTTGGAACCTCTTCCCTCTCCCACGCTGAGCCCAGGAGCATTGTTAACTGCCAAACCAAGGCTGAAACTCCATCCTTAAAAACGGTAGGGGCAGACCGTCTGGGCCGGAAGCGTATTTCCCGAGAAACCTCCATTTCAGATGGAGGACCGGTAGCAACTGGGAGTATCTGCCAAGCCGAGGTGGACGGTGATAGTTCAGATGTCGATGGGGGCCAATTGAACTGAGCCTTGAAATGTTCAGCCCATCGATCAAGACGGCGTTGCCGATCGTGAATCAGTATGCCACCGGATTCCTCAATTACCTCACTTAAGCCTATTTTCCTGGGGCCCGTGTTCCGAATCAGACGGAAAAGATTGCAACTATTACCAATAGCCGCAGCTTTCTCCATCTCCATCGTTTGTTTTGAGCCTTCTACAGGGTCCGGCGTTGTTCTTATCGATGTTTGCGTAGCTTCCCTGATTTGCTTCCAATGTTCATTGAGTCCTTCGACTGGTGGTTGAACTGGGAGGCGATCAGTGAGTTCCACTTCGAAGGCTGATTTGAAACAATCACTGACATTGTATCGTGGGTACCCGCGGTTGCTTACTAGGCGTAAGGAGAATATCGCTCGTAGCAGAGCATGGTCTGTATCCACAAGTATTGACCGGTAAGAAAGGTAGTCTTAAATCGACCTTCTCCAGCGGTAACTGATGGCGTTGTGGTCGATTCTGGTCCAGCGCTGTGAATAGGTTGGCGGTTTCCATGTAAGGTAGTGCGAGAAGTTCGTGCTTGACAGGAACAATCCGTGGTCGGCGCGGAGTTGAAGTAGGCGATCTCCGTTGTCCGTCCGATTGACCGGAATTACATGTTGTTCGCCAAGAAGCCTTTCTGATTTTGTCCAGGGATCCTACTTAAGGATTGAAGTCTCCGGCGACTATTACTGCGTCCGTTGATCCAACAACTTGGAGTAATTGAGAAAGATCCTTGTAGAATTCGTCCTTGATTTCAGCTGTACTGCAATCGGTCGGTGCATGGACCGATACGACGAACAAGCATGGACGTTTCATTCTGTAGCTTTTGACCCGTGCTGAACCGTTGAGACGTCCAGGGCACAGTCGGCTACTGACTGGAATCCAGTCAAGAAAGCGAGTGCTCCGCCTTGGCACTTAGCGCTATCCCAACGCCAGCAACATCGCGAGCTCGGAATCCTGCGGACCGTGAATATGCATCTCCCTCAAGTGTCTCAAGCGGCAAAGTATAACTTAAATTAACACTTATGTGATGACCAAAACGAAACGTATTCCATGCTGATTTGCGCAATCGATCTGTGATCCCTTATTGGACATTTTAACCGTCAACAGTTCGCCCCAGGATAAAGTGATGTGCTTCCCCGACCAGTCATCATCATCATCATCATGGTACATATATATTTTCACACAAGTCCGATGCCAGACAATGTGCCAATCAAATCATGGTACAATAATCTTTATACTAAAGAAAAACGTTCCATGATTTGCATCGTACAGCGAAATACAGTGAGGAAAACTTCGCTGACCAGTACTGTATAATAAACTGGTAATCGAATCGACGAAATGATCACTACCCAGCCTATCAGATCTTGCTGCCTTAGCTCTCTTTCGCAATTTAACAAAGCTTCACACTTCTAGTTCTGCTGGTCGTTCACATGTTACTGCTTACGGAGTCTGTGCTGCAGTCGCCGGAGTAATCGCACTAGCACCAGGCCAGTTGGACTGTTCACTAAAATACTCTGGTTAGCGATCAATTCGTTGTTCTTTATTGTGGATACTCTGTCCACTTTTGCTGCGAATGGTTTCGCCGACCTCCGGTACTGCGTATCAGTCTTTGGCTATTCCCTGATGCAGAGGCTACTTCGATTTCAATTGCTATTATGGTTCACCAGTTTTCGCGGTCAATATGTAGGCTTTCCCTGAGCTGACGTTGCAGACGCTACCGGTTCATATGTGGATTCTTACGAATTGGGAGCCTTCGTTCTGGTTCTATCAAGACTATTAACTCCCGAGAGATCCAGTGTCTTCGACGAACTTCGTTCTCGGTCCCACTGCTGATCTACCCCGTCACGTTGCGGTGCTCCCAGCTCCTATTCAAGTTTCTCATAATATGAGCAAACAGTTGTTGAAATTCGGCCTTGTCTTTACGCCGTCAAATGCTTTATACTAGTCCAGTTACCATATCCACTTGTCTCCTTTGTCAAGATCCTCATGATCTTTGTGAACCGTTTCATGGAGCAAGAGAATTAGGCGTAATTTTTTCAGGTTCAAGTTTGCTCGTTAGGAATCTTCTTCGTTTGGTTTCGCATCGTCGTTATGTGTTTATGTTGCTCTGATCCACTTTATTTTCAGGAACATCCCTTGTAAACCGGTCGTCATTAATATCCTTGAACATAGCTAGTACACTCGTGTATCAGTGTCAATGATATCACATTTGTTTGCTTTCATGTAATCAGAAGCCTGTTCCCATTCTCGCCAGACTCAAACGTCTACTACGCTGGATAATCAATCCGTCAATGCCGGCTCGGGTTCGGATGCTGTCATATATGACCCATGCTTCCTGCTACATGTCTTTCACCACTACTTGGAACTTTGTAAGTAATTGAATTTCTCCCCTCTAGATGCTATCACTTTCTTCATTCATCATTTTTATGTGGGAATGAATTTTTGGGCGTACCTTTAACTCACTATGAGCATAGTCACCGGTGATCCTCCAGTACCATTGTTTTCTCTAATACACTCCTTTTGAACAAATATCAGTAGTGTTGCGTTTGCTAGTGGTTTTGTTCGTCTGGTGTGCATGCTCATTTCTTGTCGGTCCGTCAAATCTCTCTCAGATCGCACCACCGTTTCCGGTGCCACGGATGGAAGTTTGCCATCGCAAATGGATCAGTTTTTGCGGACCTTCTACTCGCACCATTGTCTAGAATTTGCTGTGGCTTCTCTGTCCAGTTATTCAAAACATATGCGCAGCATGGCCCGAAGTGTGATTGCCGACTATCGCGAATTAGCGGAACAGTGGAAGCCACCCCGAACGGTAAAATCAGCTGATGGTCAGACAGGCCTTAGTCTCCGGCTGTTTCCAGAGCGTTCAAAAGTGAGTTGCTTGTGTGATCAAATTTGCCCCGCCAGTGATTTCCCAGAAGAAGATAATTTCTTCATACCTCACCGGTTCATCCTGGCCATAAGTGTCTTAACAGTGTCGGGTATAACATCGTTTGAATTACATGTTACCGACAAGAACGGGTGGAACCGTTTGCCTCTTAGATGCAAACCCTCCTCGAGATCATGGACGAAAGCAGTGGTTATCGGTGAAATTTTGTGCATTTGTGTGTGTCGAATACTTATGTAAAAACTGTCCCCAGGCATCGGGTAATCTCAACCCAAATGGCTTAGTTACTAGGAGGAGTCATTCAACTGACTTCTGTCAACTCCTGTGCTTCTTAGTTTGACATGATCGCATAAATGGACGTTTACAGCCGAGTGAGAGCACGTGGAATTGATGACCAATGGAAATTCTGCACATATGTCTTCTATTTTCTCCTTGACTCTGCTTTCAACATTCCAATCTTCCGTCTACTCATTTGCCCAGATGGGCAACCAAAACCGCCACACTAAAATGCGTGCTTAATGGTTGTTTAAACAGAAGCCGGTCTGGCGGACGCGCATTGAAACATCTGTGCACGTGATGGCTTGTTCTGTGAATACTAGCCACATCACCGTAATGATAAAAGCGACGTTGACCAACATATGTTCACTGATGTTATACAATCTTACATTGTCACGTACGCATTCGACCATTGTTGACTGAAGTACTCACTTTTAAGTAGACGCACGATCCTATCACCCGGTGAAAATAGGATCTGTCGAAGTCAGACACCGAAAGGGATGTATGAGTACCATATATTTTCGAGTTAAAAACGACGCACAACCTAACCGACGAATCATCATCATCGTACAGCGAACTCCACTGATCGCTTCCAAACTCGCAATGCATTACAAGGTTAGTGGTAATATTTGGGGTGGACAGGGATTGGACCTACTTTGAAGGAGGGGGAAGAAGGTGAATCTCTACGGTCAACGCAGAGTGCCTAATCGAACTCTGCACACATCCCGTTTCAAGCATTCTGGCCTGATAAGAAATCACAACGAGAACACCGCTGCCATTTCCTTCAATGTTGTCAACCAACTAATTGTGGAGTCTTTCGGACCCCAACCTGGAAGGCGTGAGATTCCTACTCCACCTAATGGCTCTGTGTATTTCTTCATGCCTCGTCTCCACGTTATCCGGTAATCTCCAGATGGTTTCCTTCAGCCCAGTGCGGCTCTAGCGAACAAGACACGGTGCCGACGATAACTAGCCGTACGCAATGTGTGCCCTGGCCAGCGAAGTCTACTTATCTGAGTTCGATGTACGCCAACTTATAATTGTAAATGCCTATGGGCAGTTGTCTTTTGGAGGCGAAGTGTTTCATGACTATATCTGCTCGGTTCTCCGTTCATTTCATGCTGCTACATAACATATCCCAATCCTATAAAACCGTCCGGGTTCTCGATTAAACGCATGCATTGATTTGATAAAAATATTGCTTGCTATTAGTTCAGTCCATATACCATTCTAAATGCGCACATCCTAATTCTGTGTCTCGGGTTGCATCCTTTTTAACTACACGTCATCTTCCAGACTCTACCTGTGACTGTTTCCGTCAGTAACCCGTTTATTTTTAGCTAATCAAATAACTGTGTTTCGTTCTCGCTTCAGATTGTTTTCATTCTGGACACCCTACGGAATAGTCTATCTACCGGTGGAGGTGCGACCCTAGCCGGAGCTGGTCGCAAAAAGAATATGTTCTCCTCCAAAGCCGATACAGGTGGCCGTCTGACTCGAGTACATGCAAACTTCTTCGTCCTCGCGTTGCAATTGATCGGCAAACCCGGTATGTGTTATGAGCCACACATATACGCTCAATTGTTGGTTCTTACATACTACTATCTAATCCGCTTCATTCGACTGGGTTCCCTTTCGTGCAGAGAATCTGATGTACCGATCGTTGTGGAACTGTTTGCTTTCAAAACCGGCTATCGATCTGAATCAAGTGCCCGATTTTCTTCGCTCATTTTTCTCCACCGATACACACGTGAGTTGACTGAATTATACACACACTGTCCGGTCGCAGAGTTTTTCCCCTGCTACTCTATGATTTAGTGCAACGCCTCTCGTGGTTTGAGTTGATAACGTTTGTCACACCATGAATAGGGAAAAGCATCGCTGTTTATTGGTTGCTCATACTTTTCAGTTTCGTGCGGAAAGGCACTGGATCAGTCGACTGTGTGCTTCCAGCTTGGTTGACGGTGCCGACTATCTGGTACTCGAACGATCTCGTGTTTTCAAGCACATGCTCACTGCATTCTCATCACCGTCCAGTGATGCAACATTTCAGGTACGTGCTACAGCTATTGAATCTTTCTCATTCTTGCAGTGCGTTTGTTCAGGTCTATTCATGCTCACTGTATGTGTATGTACATTTCAGCTCACCGTTTTGCAACTCATTCGCTCGGCAACCAATCAACCGCGTCTGATGCACGCGCTTATTCGATTTCACGCACTTCCCCTGTGGCTTTGGCGCTATGCTCTCAAACCGTGGTAAGTTATTGAATTGAATTCCACTCGCTTCCTTCTGTGCACTGTTAACGTGTTGTTTGATGGGTAACCTCATTGATACATTGATTTTCTTCTGCCGGGAGAAGTCGAGTTGGATTAAATCTGTTTGTGTGTTTTCGAGTGACATTGACCGACACATTGCTTCACGGTCCGTCTGTTTATTAGGGGTGACTTACGCTAGAAAATATATTGATAACGCGTATGAAACCAAACT